TGAAACTCCCCCTGATGAATACACCACTGACGTGTGATCATCTTGGAACTTCTAGTGTCTCTTAATGCCTTCTGGAACTCCATTAAGACATGGTCATGTCGTGCCTCTGATGCCACTGACCATTCTATGTCCTGGTTGGACTGATTTCCTTGTCGGACTGGTGTTCTGGTCGGATGGTACTTGACCAGTACTTGGATGGACTCATGATCTGCATACAACCATTGTTTGCAGGCCCATCTCATGTCCTCTTATGTCCCACGGATCCACTGATCATATGGCATAGCCATTTCGTGGACATACTATATAGAGTCATAGACCAAAACATATATGGACCATCCTTAGGTTCTCATGGACACGTCTAGTCCATTTAGTCATATATCAATTGTATGTGCTAATGGTCTTGTCCATTATGGTCGATATCCTTTCCTATCCTTTTGGTAAGTCCATGTTATGTAATAGACCTTAACTATCACGTCCATAACCTTATGAGTTACCTCACCAGTTGCTGCAATGAATATTATGATCACATCAAACCATGGATCTGCAGCAAATGCTCATGGACCTTTATACATGACTTATCGACCTTCCTTGCCTTTAGCAATACAATATCTATTAGGACTTAACCATGCCTACTTCTGGTCACTCTTTTGGACTCTTATAGTTTTCTTTAATCCATTAGTACTAGCCTAATGGTCGTGCCTTCATTCTAGTCCCACACTATAACCTTGGTACTTAAACATCACCTACCATACTTCCTTTGATGGTGTCCCATGACCTTCTTGTATTAAGCAATGTACCAAAGTACATTATGGTCATGGACCTTACCCACACATGTCTTTGCAACTCGCCAATGAGTGCTATATCATAACCTAATGTTGCCTTAACAACATGACTTGTGTGTGGTGATGTATAGGTATAGTTTATACTACATTGGTTCCTTAGGACCTCTAAACTATGCACCTTGATAGTCTAGTATCTCTAGGTCATAAGCACGTTTTGAACCAATATATTAGTCATCACACCATGGATGATTTGGACTTAGAATGTATCCGGACCTAGCCTTGGTCGGTATGAACTTTGGTATGGACCATACGGCTTCCTTAGCCTTTCCATACGCCCACTTCTTATGAAGTGTGGTAGTGCTGATTTCAACACAAATATCAATGACATAGTCACTGAACCATCCATCCTTTCTATGGATTAGATTACTATACACCTTTTGTATAATACACATGGACTGATTGTACCAAGTATTTTCTTAGTATTCCATACTACTTGCAGCTGCATAATATCAGTCTATGAACAGCTTAGGAACAATGCTGTTCTTGAGAATTCCTTTCTCATTTCCATGGTTTTCCTTTAACCATTAATCCAGTGAACCATATGCTACTTACTACCTCATTATATGTCAACTTATGACCAGACATTTGCCAATTTCGAATTTTACTAGTAGCACCCACCACTTAGGAGTTTATCTCCTAATAATATGTTCCTATGTCTCGTGTAAGAACATGAATACCCTGAGTTCATTTTAACCTTTTCCTCAGGGATTCATATACTCACAAGACCTTACTGGTTGATGGTGTTCCAATATGGCCAATACACACATCATGCTTTTATATACTCTGAACCCCATGATTCTATGATCTATGAGTACTCTTTCATGGGTTCATGATCCTCATTCCATTTCCATAAATATCAAGTGCTATTTGCTTATATAAGTCTTCTTATACCACTGGTGTTAACACTCTTATATAGTNATGATCCTCATTCCATTTCCATAAATATCAAGTGCTATTTGCTTATATAAGTCTTCTTATACCACTGGTGTTAACACTCTTATATAGTTCCATTTTACTCAGACATGATCTAATCCATTTTAGATCTTATTTATCCAGGACCTTTCCTGCCTTGTAATCTTGGCGTCCCAAGCTTACATGGTCTGGTACCTTAGATGTTTAGCTGCGCAGCCCTTTTATTAATGTCTGATTAGTTTCCTTTGAACTCGGATTCTATGATTCTATGCACCTTTCATACCCTTTCCGAGGTTTCTATCTTTTGGAACTTATTAGTCTACCTTTATAGACTTTATAGCAACTTGATTATGTCTCTCCTAGGACATTAAACTCGTGGTGCATAAGCTGGTATGACATAGTCATTCATTCCTGGGTCTATGTGTCTTGCATATAGTTTTGCTAGCAATGTATCATTCCTTGATAACTTGTGGACGTCCAGAATCTTATGTTCTAGTCCGAGGATCTTTCCAAGACACTAATGGTTAATACCATTGTTTTATCCAGCTTATATCTTTCTCATTTCCATGTTGGATAGTTGGATTTACTTCCTTATGTAATCCATGTACTTGGCCACGTTTTAATCACCCATA